ATACTTGGACGTCACGCCGGATCAGACCGACACCATAGTGACTTTAGGGTTACTAGCCCACGGGTAACCTCCCTATGTGCGCACTAGACTATATAGAGGGACAATCCCCCGTACTAGAACCAAGTCCTAGCCGTAGCTAAACAACGACATCCCCAAGTTTCCAAAATCAACAAGTTGTGTAACAACGTATATATCAACATGTATATACAAGATATCAACTATCTACCAAGCATAACCAAATTTGGAAACATATACAATACATGCACAAAGTCCATAACTACTATGGCATGAAAAATGTCCAATACAAAGAGTGCAATTTCTTACATAAGGCAACAACATATTCATTAAGGAAAACACATTCTCATGAGTATTAATATAACAACTATGTTATCCAATGCTCAAAATATAAACAAGTGAACATACAACAAGTCCAAGTCCATGATTTAAACATAGAAACAACTTCCAAAACGTAATAAAATTCATGGAGCAAATATATAGAATTTAATTAAGCAAAAATAATCAAATTCTCTAGATTCTAAATTAATTCCGAATAACCCCAAATTAATATATGTTGAAGGACATGTCATGGTCATCACATATATAACTCCAAACGACCAATTAAGTAATTAAAACACTTAAAACAAAATTAATTAAGCTAATTAATTAATTTCCTCTAGATTTTTAAATAATTCCAAATGCTCTCAATTTAAGATATGTTAGAGAACATGCCAAGGCCTATCTAAATATCATATTACAACTTGATTTCATGCTTGTTATGACCATGTGAATTAAACTTTCACCAAAGATAAATATTAAATAAAATTTGTAATTCTTAACCAAATGATCCAAATTTAATATATGTCAACAACCATACCAAAGCCAAATTTTCTAGCATGTCACAATCTAATTCCAATTTACATATCATCATGGAAATTAAACCTTAAACAAAGAAATTAATTAAATTAATTTCTAGATCTTGAACTAAAGCATGCATACAAGTTTTATAAGCTCATATAATCATCAATACAACACAAATATAATCCTAAGACACCCCCTACCTCAATTTGAGATGAAATCTCAAATCCCCACCAAAATAAATCGGCTCTGAATCCGACGAAACTCCTAGGTTTTGTCGGGGACAACACTACGAACATGAATCCCAAAAAAGCCCCATCAAAAACACAACTTGACTTGAAACCCGAACTCAAGAAACGGCCAAAACAAGATTCAAATCGGTTGGAATCGAAGGCCTCGCCGAGGGGAACAATAAACACAAAGGCATCACCACTTTTTACTGAAGGGAAGAAGTCCAAAAGAGGAGAGAGAAGATGGCGGCCATGGATGGAGCTTGGACTGGCCATGAAAGATGAGAGAGAGAGAAAAATCTGATTTTTACTTCTAAGACCTCCTATTTATAGAAAAACTCAAAAAGTGCCCCGAACGGGCCCCGCCGGGTCCGGAAAAGTGGAATTCGTGCAGACACGCTCAAATGGCAAAACTCTGTGAACGAAAAAGATTTCAAATGAGAAAATATGAACAACAGAAGAAATAGCGTCAAAAACTGAGTCCCGAACAGAGAGTTATGCCCAAAACAAGTTTGGCGCAAACCGGGGCTAGAAACCCTAAAACTGGAAAATATCGTCCATGAGGAAATTCTAAGAGTCCATGACTCGACGAAATGTGAAAATGAATCCCATACGAGGATCCGGGTTCAAAACAAGGCATTGAGCAATAACTTTCATTAATTGCACAATGACCCATCCAAAAAGTGAAAACTGCGAAACTAAAATATCTCCCAAAAGATATTTTCTTAGATATCCCTAAAATAAAATATCTTCAAAAGATATTTATGAAAAACACTCCAAGAAAAGAAAAGGTGTCCAAAGAACTTTGCATTTATGCCCCTTTGGACACCGAGAGCAACCAGAGTACTTTCTCACGAAAGTAAAGATACGTATATCATAGAAATCATTGGGAATGAAGATACGTGAAGTCAGAAACCAATTCCGAACATAAGAGAGTGTGGTTACCCAAATAGAGTGACAAACGAGGAAAAAACGAAATAGGGAAAAAGACAAAATAGGAAATAGTGTCGAAAAACGAAAAATGTGGGAATGACTCGGTCCTCAAAGGAAGTTGTCAATCCACAGAAAAGAGTATCAGAAATCACTCCAGAGCACTCGAGACGACACTAATCGACAAGAAACCAAACTCAAAAGGGAAAAGACAACGAAAAAAATTTATCCGAACAATTCGCGTCATTACAGTTATTAAGTATATTTATGCATTATGATTTTTAAGGAATCATCACATGTTTTTAATGTTGTTAAGTACATTTATGCATTATGATTTGTAAAGAATCATCGCATCTTTTTAATGTTGATAAGTACATTTATGCATAATGGTTTGTAAGGAATCATCACATGTTTTAAATGTTGTTAAGTACATTTATGCATTATGATTTGTAAGGAATCATTGCATGTTTTTAATGTTGTTAAATACATTTATGCTTTATGATTTTAATAAATCATTGCAGTTTTGATGTCGTTAAGTACATTCAGGCATATTGATTTTTAATGAATCGTTGGAGATTTTGATGTTGTTAAGTATATTTATGTTAAAATGTTTAAATGTAGCTTAGGAATGATCCTATAGATTCATTTGGAATGTAGACGTTAGGTGGCATGCCCTACTTTAGTTGTTTTCGCATTTTAGATTTCAAGTTGATGACTTTGAGAATCTATATCTTGTTGCCTTGTATAACATGTTTCTATCTTATTTAAATTGCATGAATGATGTGGTTTATGCTAGGAATGATCTAAGGTAGTTTAGGATGCTACCTGAGCCTCACATTTGACATAGACGTTAGGTGACATGACCCTTTTGAATTGTTTCCCATGAATGTGATAACTTTGTAAAACATTAGGTCCTTGCATGCTTATCTCCTATGAGTAGCTTTATGTTACTCACCCCAAAGTTATTAGGGATATTTTTCAAGTACAGGAATCAAGGTTGAGATTCTCATTATGCTTGGACGATTTGTAAACTTGAAGGTTTTCATTTTTGTAAAGGTTGGCTTGAAATGTCACTTGTAACCTTATATATCAAAATGTGTATATTTGATTCTAAACGTGTAATGTGTACATAAGTACACTATTTACAATGTATTTGACATGTATGAGGTGAGGCCATTGGCCAATGATATCTAATTTGCATTCTATGCATGTTTACTTTCAAGGTTTAATATGGTAATAATGAAAAATGTCAAGTCATTACTTCACCATGTTTGCATCGGGTGTGGGAATTCCATTTTTATTCTTTCATAGGACTCATTAACTATGTATGAGATGTGGCCAAGGGCCAAACACCATTTTGTTTTAGGTTTTGCATTTTGGTTTCATTTATTGCATTTTCAAGCAATTTTATGAAAAATTAAAGTTTGAGAGGTCATATTTTGCATCGGCGGTATTTTTAAGCCGTGGATCATTGTAGCGCGTCCTTATAGGTAAGTTATATTTGCGTGCTTGATTGTTTCCGGGTAAAACCTCTTGCTTGGTGAAATGAGCCTCCTTTGGACTCATTTTGCATTTTTGTTGAAAAATCTAGTTTAAGGGCATTTTGGGGTTTTCCTTCGGGAGGTAAATTCCGGTCTTGACTCTGTAATGACCTGGTCATTTTCCTTCCTTTCCTTTTCTCAGAATACAGATATTTTTTTCCCGTTGATCCCTTCTTTTCTAAGTTCGGTTTCTCGACACTTAGGGCTCGTTTACTAATGCTTTTACTTTCTTACTTTCGCTTTTTTGAAAAGTAAAATCATGATTTTGATTTCTTTGAGATGAAACAGAAAGTAAAATTATGTTTAGTAAACTGCGAGTTACTTTTGAAATTTGAAAACAAAACACAGAAAGTGTGTTTAGTAAACTGCTGTCTACTTTTGAAATTTGAAAGCAAAATACAGAAAGTGTGTTTAGTAAAAAATAATAAATTTCTATTTTTGCTTTTAGTAATTTACATTGTTTTATATCTTTTTATATCTATTGCATTTTGGCATTTATAAAGTCTATTAACAAATAAAACTATCGAATTATTTCAGCCTTGACATTATTTCTGATTAAATTTAATCATAGAAGAAACAAATTCAATCTTCATAATCAACTTAAAAGCTGAGGCTAATGATTTCTTCTATTTTTTTGGGCTACACCCAAAACTTACGTATTAGTAATGCATGGCTATAATTGCTAAGCCTATGTTAAACCCTTTTTCACAATTATTAAAGTAAATGTCATTAGTCTGCTCTTTATTTTATTTTTCACAAAAAGATAAATCATTTATGGCTCATTACCAAATAAAAAAAAGGAAAATTATTAGAAAATAATTCCGCTGCCGGGGTTTGAACCCGAGATTTCAAAAATTAGCTGAAATTTCCAATGTGGTACAGCAGATCTCATGCTAATTATTCTACATTTTATGGAATTTATATTACATGAATAAAATTCTCTTTCGATCCTTTTAGTCCCTACCCATGGGGCCATGAACTCTATTAAGATATGCTTAATTGGAGTGTTGGAGAAAAATTCTGCTTTCCTTTATTGAGATTTGTAGGGGTTGATTGGAACTTTGTAATTTTACATGACATTACAAAGTCTCTACAAAAATCAAAGCATACACATAATATCAAAAGCATATAGATTATAACATGAATTCAAATGGCATTTAGATATAAAATTAATCCAAATAAAAATGACAATATTACAATATCCAAATAGAAAATTAATCCTAATAAAAAGTGACAATATTACAATATCCAAATAGAAAAATAATCCTAACAAAAGTGACAGTATTATAATGAGCAAATAGAAGTGATTCATCTATCACGATAGTTGTTCCACAACTCATTTGCAAACTGCATCACGGGTTTCAGTCATCTCTTGAATTAGCTCCTGTGTAACATTTACTCTCTGAGAAGTACCACCTAGTTCCACTTTTTCTTCTTCTTCTTTTTAAAGATTGACATTCTCATCCCCATATTCATCAAAAAGACGATCTAAACGGGCTTCGTCACGAATAAAATTATGTAATGTGCAACAAGCAATAACGATGAGTGCTTGTATACTTAGTTTGTAAGGAGGCATCAACTTAAGGATCGGCCAACGCATTTTTAATATACCAAAACAACGTTCTATCACATTTTTCAGTGACGAATGCCTATAGTTGAATAGTTCATGAGGACCCCTTATTCGTCTCCCCCTATATTCCTGTAAATGATATCTTTCGCCACAATAAGGTGCTAAGAAGTACCTCATATTAGTGTACCCAGAATCCACAAGATAATACTTACCTGCACAAACAAAAAACAATTATTTTTTTCTAATTTAATATGATATCTTAAACATATGATATCTTAATTTAATACCTTTGGGTGGCAACGGAAAATTCGTTGTAGAATCAAAAATAGTTTCCAATAATACTCTTGAGTCATTCGCGGAGCCTTCCCAACCTGTCACCACATATGTAAATTTCATGTTGAAAGAACAAATAGCCATTACATTTTGTGTTGTATCTGATTTCCTTCCACGATAAGGAATTTGTGAAGATGCTGGGACATTTGCATGGATGTGTGTACCATCAATTGCACCAATGCAATTCTACAACACATTCTTTTGTTAGTAAATATAAATTCACAATACCAATTAATTAAGTAAAAATATTTTTTTTAAAAAAACTACCTAAAAGAATGGAAAGTATTTCTCATTATGTTGAATCTCCAATGGTACCTCGTTCATATTTGGTGGACATATTATACTCTTCCCTAATTTGCAAACTTACTTTAAAACTCGGTGGAAATATTTATACACAGTCCCCGTAGAATGTTGATATCTTTCTGCCACCACCTGAACACTCTCATTGTGTGCTAAAGTATACAAGAACATTGTAACTTGTTCTTGTATGGTTAAGTATCTAGAATCTTCTAAGCCCAATCCCTTTAACTGTTTATATAAATTTCTAAATACATGTTTATCCATCCTAAAGAGTCAATAACACCTAATGGGGTGGCCATTTACTAGTTCAAGTATATAATTATGGCTTTGAAGCATAAGAAGTCATACATAGTCTTGGTGGAAGCATATAATGTTCCATGTACTCTATGACCATGTAAGTAAACAACAAACACACCCCCATTTCCTCCTCTTCATCTTCTTCATCATCATCAATTAAAGTAGGCAAACAAAATGGATCCATAATGGTAAACCTGATGCAATGAAACATGAGATGCATAAAATGATAATGCATTCAATAAAAGTTAGGGGAAAAAATGACTTCATCTTCAAATGACATATATAATATCTTAGATTAACACAATAAAAAAGGACACAAATTAAAGCAAAGAAATGATAAACATTAGCAAAACAAATCCAGGGACTTAACATCTGACATAAGTTTACTAGTTCTAAATCACAGACATAAGTTTACTAGCTTAAACAAATCCCAAATAGAAATTACAAACACCAACAAAAAAAACATTGTCCCAGTTGCAGCATATCAATCTAGTCCCAGTTGCAGCCTTTCAAGCCATGCCTGCTTCTTCTCATCACTAAGTTTAACAAATACTCTACTCCAGAGCGGATCATCACGAAATTGTTTTAGGGCCTTGAAAAATGTGTCTCCATCAATTGGTCCCATGTCTTCTAAGATTTGCAAGCATTCAGTAACTTTCTCGGAGTTTTGATCAACTTGAGACATACCACTTGAGCCTCTACCCTTGTCTAGTGCCTCTGCCTTTTTCTTAAAATATTCGCCAAATTCACTCATAGCAGAGGAAATTGTCTTTTGAAAGCTCTCTTTAGTTGATCTTATACGAGTAAGGTCAGGAGACCGACTCCTATGACGAGAAGTATCCACCACTTCATTGACGTCATTAGGATTTTCATCTCCCTCATCACCACTAATACATGGGCTTCTATTTGAAGGGTGAGCACGATTACCAGTTGCATATGTATCACCAAATAAGTTACTAAGCAGATCATAATGTTTGGACCCTTTTATCCGAAGCCGCTTGGCATGCCTGACTTGCTGCAATTATATATTATTGTTAATTTATATAAAATAATACATAATATTACAAATAATATATTCCAACTAACCTTTTCCATCTCCTCCCATTGGGCATCTGTAAGTGTGACTTGACCAGTTACAGGGTCCCATGATGAACCAGTGTTGGATAAAAAAAAATTTATATGCTTTATATCTGTCTCTCAACCCATTGAATTTATTCCTCAATTGTAGGTTCGTATACTTTTCTTTAGTCAACCTTAACATCCCTTCTTCTAAATTTTTCCATCCTTCAGTAGAAAATGTGGTGTCTTTCCGATTTCCATTCTTTCTTTCTTCTTCCATCAAAGTTATTAAGATCTCTTCATTTTTTTCACTCCATAGAAATTGAGAACGTTGATCCTCGACCACATTATCCCCATCCAACAATTGAGTACTTTGATCCATCACTACAATAGAAGAATATTCCATTAAGAAACTAAGCAGAGCTTTGCATTGTAATATTGCGAGAGGAACTACAGAACTTATAAAAAGTAAAGAACCTTCCCTTCCACATAATATGGTGGCAATTTTAGGCCCAACCTTCCTTTTAGTTTTCACTTTATCCAGATTTTATAGAAGTTGGAGAATCTATAAATCCAATCTTGAGTTTAGAAAGCAGTGCTATAGGAAACTGAGCATTATTCGATTAATCTTGAACTGAACTAGCATATCCTTATTCAATTAAAAAAAAAAAAAAAAACTCTTAATTTAAAAAATTCTGGACTGGGAAGAAGTTGTATTCTTGAGCAGCAGTTTGTTTGCAATTTGGATCTGATTCTCTCTAGTTCCTAATTAGTACTATTAAACTAATAGTGCAAGATGTATGTTATATCATATATGCCATCGTGATTATCCTCTAACTTTTTGTTTTATAGCCTCTTCCTATACTTCTTAATGTATGCATTAGATTCGGCCCAAGCCTCAAGCCTAACAACTCCACTTGGAAGTTAAAAGCCAATTCTTATTTTAAGGGGTTGAATCCACAAGATTAAAGGCTAAAATACAATAAACATTTATTAGTATATATAAATAATATAAAATTAAAAACTAACTTATAATACCATTAAATTGCACCAGAATATGAACAACCCAAGCTCTCCGGCCCATGGTAGTTTTGGTTTCCCAAAACCCAAGTCAAACCACATGTTACCACATATTTCCTAACTATATCAACACATGATAGTTCCAGTCTTCCCCTTCCCCAACCTATTCATGGTAATGCTAAACAATAATACCATAATACCAACATTCATACATCTTTGATCACTCATTTAAAAATAAAAATAAAAAAAGAAAGAAAGAAAGACCACAATCTTAAGTTGTATAGGACATTCTTTGAATAGTAAAATTCATTATGTTGATAGGGTCATAGTTAGCTAAAACTAAAATTATAGCTAATCCCACACAAGGCCACCCAAATTATAATGAATGATCTTCCAATCAAACACACAATGAAATAGTGTTGGAAATGAAAGCGAAATCCTAGAAATATACATAAGCAAGCAAGCAAACAAATAAGTAGAGACACTTCTTTTCTAATGATGTAGGTAGAAAATTTTGAATAATCTCAACCATTTTAATGTCTTACAAATATTTTTCCTAAATAAATTAAAAAATAGGAAGATGCACACTGCCAGATAGTATACCCATCTGGAGGTGAAATTAGCACCTTAAAGGAAAATTTTAGTGTCCAACATTTTCTACAGAGCTACATGTTCAAAATCACTCAAGATTTGGAATGAAATAACTAGAAGTATATTAAAGGTTGACCAAAAATTCCCATATAAGCAACAACATAAAAAGTAAAATTTCATTTGAATTTGTCAATGTATTCAACTCATCTTTCCAGTAGTATGCATTTTTGTGCTAGATGATAAAAGTTCAAACAATTTGGGATAAAATTACAATGAATGCTGTATTTTAAATTTACAACTTGAACAAGCTATTAGGGCAGGTGCTAGAAAAATAAACTAAGCGACCTTAAAGAACAAATGAAATTTGACTAAAAAAGGAAATGAAAGAAACACAACTTTTGAAATGCTTACCTGCTGATATGCGTGGAAGCAGAGTGCAGCAATGATTATTCACATTTTCCTTTTCACATGGTCAACCAAAAATGGACGAAATTTTAGGCAGAATTTTCAAATTAAAAAAATAAATAAAGAAAGACTAGATGAATTTCATGAAAACATTCAAATGGAAAAGTTTCAAAAGCCAATAAAATAGGATCAATTATCAGCTTGTGAAGTGTGGCCAAACCAGACTCGGTTTTCCTTAAGAGTTACTACTAAAGAATCAAATAGAGCCCACGAAATATATAATAGATCTACTATGCATCACAGATCTAAAATTCACCGAAAGTTTACTCTGTATAGCTCTCACCTAAGGGCGGCAGCCCATCAAGCCATTTGCAAAATGATTCAGGAAAAGAAATTGTAGATTCTAGGGCAAAATTTTCATATATGAGGAGAGAGAGAATCTGAAAAGAGAGGGCGAACTTACAGGTGTTGTTGTTGGTCGGCCGTTGAGTCTCCTTCGCCGATCGACTGTCGCAGATAGGGGATGAAGAATCGCCGTGGTAGAAGCAGATCTGAGGGCGAGATGCTAGGGTTGCGTCGTTGAGATGATGACATAAACGAGGACGGATTTTATCTTTCAAAGTTAGCGCTACAATGTTTTTACTTAGCGCTACAGTGTCAAAAATACTTTCTTCGCACAGTATAGAAAGTAGAGAAAGTGAGAAAATTTCACTTTCTCTTCTCTTTACAAATTTAGAAATTACTTCCTTAAAATGAAAAAGTGAAACTAATTTAATAAACGTGATTTTACTTTTATTTTTGCTTTCTCATAATTGACAGCAGAAAGTAGGAATTAATTCCTGTTACTAAACAAGCCCTTAGTGTCATCTCGAGTGCTCAGAAATGGTTTCTGAGTCTCTTTCCCTTTGATTGACAACTTCCTTTAAGGACCGAGTCATTTTCACATTTTCACTTTTTGGACACTATCACTTTTCGTCATTTTCCCTATTTTGTCTTTTCCCCGTTTGTCACTTTGTTGGTATAACCTCACTTTTTGTGTTCAGAGTTGGTTTTTGACTTCACGTATCTTCATTCTAGGTGGTTTCCACGAAATACGTATCTTTACTTTTGCAGAAAAGTACTCTAGTTGCTCCCGGTGTCTATAGGGGCATGAATATACAGTTCTTCAGAAAAATTTTCTTTTCTTGGGGTGTTTTTCACAAACATCTTTTGAATATATTTTATTTCAGGGGTTTTTAAAAAAATATTTTTGGAAGATATTTTCATTCTGGGTCATTAGTGTAGTTATTACTTTTTGGAGGGGTCATTGTGCAATTAATGAAAGTTGTTGCAAAAATGTTTTGTTTTGAGCTTGGATCCTTGTACGGGATTCATTTTCACTTTTCGTCGAGTCGCGTCCTCTTAGAATTTCCTTCTGGTCGTTTTTCTCCAGTTTCACGGTTTTTGGCCCCCGTTGCCGCCGAACTTGTTTGGGGCATATCTTTTTTCTCAAGACTTAGTTTTTTACGCCATTTCTTCCGTTGTTCATCTTTTCTCATTTCGGTTCTTTTTCATTCATGGAGTTTTTCCGTTTAAGCGCGTCAGCGCAAATTCTACTTTTCCGGATCCGGCGGGGCCCGTTCGGGGCACTTTTTGAAAAGACGAAAAGGGAATAGTGTCGAAAAATGAAAAATGTGGAAATAACGCGGTCCTTTAAGGAACTTGTCAATCCAAAAAAAAGAGTCTCAGAAATCATTTCTGAGCACTCGAGACGACACTAAGTGACGAGAAACCGAACTCAGAAAAGAGAGAATTCAACGAAAAAAATTCATCCGTAAAATTCTGAGAAAAAGGAAATGAAGGAAATAACCAGGTCATTACAACCTACCCTCCTTAAAGAGTTTTCGTCCCCGAAATCAGGAACATCCCCAAAAGAACCGAATAAAGACCGTACATAAGGTCACACCAAGGAACAGATCATAAAGTACCCAAAGACAACTCCAAAGGTCTCAAGATCATCGAAAAGACATGAAACCACGAATAGTGAGACACCTCTCCAAACGAGTTAACATACTAACCCAATGTCAACCACCCAAAGGAGACTAAGGCAACAAGACATCAAAACAAGGA